GTGTTGAATTTTTGTGACATATTACGTAATTTTCTATTAAAAAAATTCATTTATTTGTTGGTCCCCGAGAACTCCACACAACTAATAGATATATAATTTGGTAAACAAAACATTACTCTATTCACCTTATTCCATTTATCTTTTATCTTTTTGTTTTTTTTGTTTTTTGCCCTTGACTTTTCTTAAATGCTAAACTAAAGGCGTAGTATAATGGAATCGGCCGGGATAGAAAATTTTCAAATCATTGAGACTAGTGATAGAAATAGCAAGATACCATCATACCAATAATTAGAGTAGTTATATTTGTACCATAAAATTTATAGATACACCCCAATTAATGAATATTTCCTAATATATATCTAAAAAATCAATCCTTTTATAGACAATTTTTATATGATTCCCACTCTAACCTTCTCATACCCCAACCCAACCAACTTTTTCATTTTTATTTTATCATGTTTTATAGAAAAAAATAATTAACCAATCTCAACAATAATATAAGCTTTTATCGTTCTCAAGGGATAAAAAATCCATATGCCAAGAAAAACACTTACGGTGTGCAAGCATAGCATAGCAAACGAGCTTTAAAATCTTTTCAACATAAATATTACAATCAAAATATCCAAAAAGTTTTAGCAAAACTAAAAAAATATGAATTTAGAAGTCATCTCTTAGGCATTGTTATATGAAAAATCAACCAAAATTTCTATTTATAGCTTATGTGGTTTATATATAAAAAGATGTATTATAGCTTATGTGGTTTACATATAAAAAGATGTATTCTTAATGAGTTTAAACGTAATTCTATTTTAGGATAAAGTTATAATAAAAGTAAATTTTAATTTAGTGGGGGTATTCACGAATATTAGGGATGCAAATAAAATTTCTCATAATTAAATTGTAGCCTCCAGCAGCCATTACCATTGTGTGGAGATAGCAACAGAGGGAAAAAGAGAGGGAGCCCAAAATTTGACAGTACTTCGGCTGTGGTATCGACTTGACATTGAAAGACAAATGTGAACCCAATTTCAGCTTAATTATCAAGATCCAACTTTGATGTCATGTATTTATTAGTCAGCAAGGACTGCTTTTTAACCGTTGAATTAACTTTTTAATAATTTAAATTTGCGACTTGAAGTAATTTTATGTTGCGCGTCTTAAATTTTTATTACAGACACCCGCATATTTGACCGATAAAAAGTTAATCTAATGGTTAAAACAACATTACCTACTGATAGCGTTTAAAAACCTTCCCTACCATAAATATTGCCTTATTAGTCATGCAAAACTAGAATTAATTTATAAAACTTTCATGTGATAAGCTACTATTAGTTGGCAAATTACTGAGGGTAATTTCACATCAACTTAGAAAAGAAATGAAAATATAACGGAAAGAAAGTTATATAACTTACATGAAGAAAATGGAGAGGAAGAAAATAACATTTTTCTCATTATGTTTGGTATGCATTTTCTCCTATGATCTTTTCAAATAAGGAGAGCTTACAATTAGATTTTTCTTTTTAAGTATTACAATTCTTCTTTTCTCTCATACAGTCTTCTTAAACAACTACGGGTCTCAAGTTCTTCCCGCTGATTTCCTTACCACTCTCCCCCTTTACACATTTCTATGATACAAGTAAAAAAAGGGGGCAAAAAAGTCCACACCAAAAGTTTGTTTCACGCACTACGGCACAAACATTGCTAGTAACAGTTGCATATATACAGCCATAGCTCATGACCAAATTTGAAGAAAAAAATTGATAGAAATTTCCCAATTTTAGCCATGATTACTATTGCAAGATGATGAACAATATACCAATAACTAGATAGAATCTGTTTTTACCTTGGGATTTATGCATTTATAAACAAAAATATCCAATCATACAATTATATTTGAGAAGAAAAGAAAATAAATCTTAAAAACATACATAAGAAGAAAAACAATGTGTACATTCTTACGCATAAGATCAAATTTGATATTGATCAAAATTTACCTGTAATGCTTCTATTTCTTCCATGGAAGAATCCTATTATAGAATCCAGAGAGACTAGTGATCTTCATTTTCTTGGTCTTTTCCTTCCTCTGGCCAAACACTTTCCTCTTCCACATCTTCCTTTCCATGAATTCACTCAAGCTTGCCACCATGGAAGACCCTTTGGCCACCTTAGTATTAATTCCGACATTCGATTTCATCGGAGGGCCCACATCGACCGGACGAGAGAATCGGGAGATATTGAACCGCCTTGATCCACCTAGAGATGGCAGGATCATTAGGTGCCGTTCGATAAGATGACTAAGTGAAACCAATTCATAGGAGTCATACAAGGGACTACCACAATCCCATATTGCCAATTCCAATTCCTTCTCTTCTTTGTGATCTTCTTCTTGCACTTTGGATGTCCGTTTCATCATTTTTGTTTTGAATTTCTCTCTCTCTCTCTCACTTAGTCCTTAGACTGTTTCAGTCACAAAAACCATGCATGTGTGTCTGTGTCCCAAACTGACAATGATTTGTAATATTATGGCTTCTTGAGTTGTAAATAAGAGCTGGCATATGATTGGGGCGCTCCATCTTTTTACTTTGCGCGGCCTAAAGTCTGTTTACTTTTTCCAAAATAGGACTATTGCGGTAACAAATGATGGCCCCACCCCATATAATGGGCCTATTATCGTCTTTTCACACGGCGGTGTCTCCCTTATCAGAAAAAGACATACTCAACTAGTTCAACCTTTGCCCAAGAAAAAGACAGATCCGCTTGTTTAAATATGCCCTTCCCACAATAAGATTAAGAATTTAACACTGAAATTTTAAAGAATTTGATTGGTCTCATGTTCATAATTATATTTCCTAAATCTTGATCCGCATTTTTAAAGAAGTATAGGGGTCAAATTTCCAATTACATTTCTGTTTTGGTATCTTGTTATAAATGTAGAATGTAAATCAACCACATATGCTATTTTGTCTTGTAAAGTGCTAAAACTTTCTTTTACAAAAACACCCTCACAACACGCACACTTTTGATCAACTATTATACCAGAACTATAATCTTTTGGCGCTCTATTTTCTCACAAAACATCAATTGATTCTAGTGGATAATTGCATACTTCCTCAGAAACATCTCTCTAAAAAAAAAAAAAAAAAAAAAGAAAAAAAGAAGATGATATAACTGATTTATGGGTTTCATATAAATCCAAATTTCTGCAATTTGGACATTTGTTGCATGTGAGTGACAGAAAGGTTATTCGGTTTAATCTATCCGACAGTGTAATCACCAGTGGGACATATTCACGAAAAACTCCTTTAAAAAAATGTAACAAAAATAACCAAAGCCATAAGTCATTTGCTCATACATAGAATTTTACACACAAGACAAATGAAAATACTTAATTATGTTTGTTAAAGATATAAAAAAATATTACGAGCCATGTCAATCTTTGCCTTCCCTCGAATAATATAAGATTTTGTTCATCATGATCCACCTCTTCTCAGAAGCTACTTGGGCCACATCATGATTGTCAAATAGATCTCCACAACTATAAAAGTAATTAATTCACTATTTTAATTTCTTTGTGCTTCTTTTATACTTGAAAGTGCTGTTTGCTAAAGCTTCTTTCGCTTCTATTTGGAAGCGAAAAGTGCTGTGACCAATAAATACAACTACGCATCCGACTCCACGTGTATGGTGGCCACGATTGTATCACGCCCAACTCCAACGAAATGCATGCATACCAGTGAAAATCACTATTTAGAAAATAAGTAATTGTCTCAAATTACCTTAAGAAGATAAAAATGAAATAAAATCGGACGAGAAAATTTCCACCACTTTAAAAAAAAAAAAAAGGGAACTAGCTTCACATAAACATATTTTGAGATGGTTACTTTTTTTTTTTTTTTTTTTGAAAGGGAGAGGGTTACTTTTTTATTAGTATTAATAAACGTATTTTCTTTAGAGAATAAACGCATTTTAAAGACGGAAGATTCTCTTGTGCGATGATATATCGGTAGGTTAAATTTTTTTAATTATTAAATTTATATATGTTTCATTTTTATGTATTTTTATATAAATTTAACTGATAAAAAACTGATATACATGTAAATTCGCGTATCAGAGAAGATTTTTTTAAAGATAATTTATTTTTTATTATCTTCTTTTGTGTAACTGTCATGTCAGATTATAATGACTTGTACATTTGTTGATCATGTCACAGTAATACTATAAAAGAGAATAATCAAAACTAATTTTATCTATAAAATATTCTCTTTTAGCAATATGGACAAAATTAACCCTTTTTTGAGATGCCAGTCACCAGCCAATATGATCAACCAACTGTGAAGGAGCAGTAGCAAAACATATGTACGCTAGAGGATTCCATAGGAATCTGCTGTTAGATTTTTTGCATATCAGCGCGTGTGTGTAACATTTTGTAGAAAGTATTTACCCAAAAAAAAAAACAAAAACATTTTATAGAAAAAGAACATAATTTGAGTGCATATAAGTCGACATATAGGATGACGATGAGAGGAATCATCGTCATATGTCATATAACCCATTATATTACGATTAGTATTTAACCTTTTTGTATTGATCCTCGTTTATGTCCTCATCTCCTCCACGATATCCCACTAAAAAAAAGGCATTTGGGATTTGGCTCAAATTGTAATGCTTACCTCACGGCAACACCTCATGTGATTTAGCTTCTCTGACTGTCAATTCCTACTAAAATGATGCAAGAAAAAGTTCGATATATATATATATATATATATATGTATGTACATATATACTGGTGAATATATGTGCCAGCATTCATCACTAGACAGCTACACTAGAAGTCAAAGTTTTGAGGCTCAATAAGCTGGACACTTTGCTCAAACAGTTTTTTATCTTTTGGAAGCGGGTCACAATAACTAAAATATCCAAACAGGGACATTCTTGTCAAAGAGCAGACAATTTTGACAATAGGGTTTGCTAAATATAAGATTGGAGTGGATTAAATGGGATAAAGACGGCAATCCCCACATAACTTTCATTTAAAAGCAGTACTAAAGTAGCTGTTAACAACGTTGGTGCACAAGATTTGCAAAACCACACTGTTGGTTGGCCCCACATTGCGCGGTGTCTTAAACTGGCTAACAGCAGATCCTAAAGCTAGGTAATGGTCCATGATCTTCTGAAAGGTTCCCCTCCGAACAACTCGGAGTTCAAGCGGGCCTATGGCATTGACCTTGCGGGAGCTGACATACCCAGCGTCGATGAAGGCTTTGTCCAAACAGTTGCTGCATTCGCTTAGAACTTCCTGACTGGCCTCACCACTCACCTCCCAAAAGATGACATAGTGGCCGGGCTCAGTGGACAAGTCCACATAGCTTGTGAAATCAACGACATCTAGCTTTTCCCCGGCTAGCAGCTTGGCTGCCTCTTCGACGGCTAGCTGCAAATCTTTCTCGGTGTTCTTGTCGATGTTGATAGTAAGCAGAAGGTTTCTCCTGCACACAAATTTGAGCTCAGGAGTCGCATTGTGGAATCCGACTACCTTCACTACGTCTCCTAGTCTGTACCGATACAAACCTGTATAACAATCAGAAAAAAAATTTTAGAAATCAAAATAAGGAAACCAAAAATTGTCAAATCTACACATTTAATTCTTAAGTTGTTCATAATATTTAGGATTCAATGCAGAGAGAGAACATAAAAAATTAACGTTAGGAGGCAAGTCATATGTTGCGGATAAGGATCCAACAATTAAGCATACAGATTGGTCTTCGTCACTGTGCAGTGTCCACATTAATGAATTCAAGTCATCAACAAGACAGCAATAACTAAAAATCTTCCCGTACAAAATTAACCACTACCTACTTTTTTTTTTTGTCTTTTATATTTTCTAATGTCAATAGATAGATAATATATTAATATACACAGAAACGAAAGGGGGTTGTGTATCACATGTACGACGAAAATTACCAGAAAGTCCTTATGCCATACAGCATAGATAGGCACCAATTTCTCTTCAACCAATGTATTCTAAAGACTCAAAAAGTGAAATCATTGACCCAATCTTCCAATCTTTAAATTAATGCACGAGCAGTGGCACGTTAACTTTTAAGCATTTCAAACCCATCTCTTATCTTTTCACAGGTGGCTCAAGCCCAACTGTGGAAACGACAGTAAAATACCAACAATAAATCTTAAATCTTAAAACATTAATAAAACAGCACACCTTTCCAGGTGTCGATAAAATATCACAAATAAAGAAAAAGCAAGGAGAATTCAATATTCGGAAACATTTCCCGTTAACTATTCATCGAGTCATTGGTACATATAAGAAGATCAAAATGAACATAAAAAAACAACTAAACAAATGAAAAAAGAAATAATTATTTGCAAGTAGGCATAAAAAACAGCACATAAAACAAAGGCGTCTCTCTCATCCAATATAAATATGCATATACATAAACACATTTGCTCGAGCATTCTATAGTAAATTGTTGCGCAAATGTCCAGACAACTATATATATGAATTTAACGGGGGAACCCAAAAAAAAAAAAAAAAAATTAAGAGTGCTCACATGGGCTTTCGTGCTACCTATAATGTTTTGCATTACAAAGTGGACAATACATATGCCATATGCCACAACAGTAGAGGATGAATCTTCATTAATACACTAATTATTTAAAAGCTTTTCACTGTATTTAATCAACACTCTTGTTATCCAAAACAAATATGGGAGAAAGTGTAGTATCCAGCTGGTTTAGTCATGTCAAATAGCAAATTAAGAATCTACTTGCACAAGACAAAAGAGGGACAAAACAACATTAAAAAAGTATACACGGTGTGGAGAGGAGCAATACCGTCCAAAGACGGAAGTTGTTTTCCCCAACTACAGGAATCACATGATGAACATTAAAGGCAGTTGTCTTAAGAGTTTCTAGAAGCCAATTTATTAGTGCTAGAAAGATGAGGAAAATAATTGACAGAAAAAAGTTCAAAGCATGGTGTAAAGAAACAATAATCATTCAACAGATGGACCAAAGAGTGATAATTTGCTAAAATTAAAAGTTCAGATAAGAAAATACCTGCAAAATTGGTGACAAGGATCTCATACTCTTCACCAATCTTAACTTCAGTGAGACCCAAAGGCTCGGTATCTGGACCAATGTTATCCATTATAGGGGTGAACTCAAAATAACCAATGTTTGGAAGCACAACATAAGTGGCTAACTCAGGAGGCAATTTTGGGTTCACATTAGCTCCAATCCATCCTTCAGAAGACCCATAATCAGCACTTACAAGAGGAACCTCCCCTGCATAGTGCCTCAGCTTTTTCAAGTATGGCTCCATTGAACCAGTCATGATCCCATAAATGTACTTCACATTAGGGAAAAGTTCTGGCACTAGACCATACCAGTTACTCAACCCTGAACACTTCTTATGAATCAAGTCAGCCAATTCGGGGTTCGGCCTGAGCATTTTCGACATGGCGGTTCTGATGCTCGGGACAGTGATACGGCTGCTTAGGACCCCATTTCGAATGTCGATACAGAGTTCCTCCCAGACTTTCTCAAAGGTCCGGAATGCGTGGAGTATGCTGTGAGCAAATGTTGAGGAAATCAACTGAATTTCTCCGCGGAAGAGTAGGCCGCATAGGAAATGGCAGTAGAGTGATTGGTGGAAATCAGGACCAAATATCACTTCATCAGGGCTGCAGCATGGAGACTGCATTGACCTCATTGTTTTCTTGTATTGCGAGTTGCGGAAGACATTTGTGGTGGCTGTGCCTGCAGCTAGACCCCCTTTTGTTTTGAATTGCTTGCTGCTATAGATGAATTGCAAGGCCTTGCCATTCTTGATAGGATATTCTCTGCACAAAAGGGAACCAAAAAAGCAAAAAATAAAAAAATTGTACATCAGGAGAGAAATAACGGAGGAGAATTAAAAGATGAGCATCTGTATAGCTTTTGACAACACACGATCGCTCTGAATTTTCTAAATCAGAACAAAAGGGTGCTTTAAAATGGGCATTAAATAGAATCACGAATATATCATGAGTCAGTCCCAAAAAGGGTACTATTTTTTTTTCCCCTTTGTTTGGCTACTAGCAGTAAAAACTTTAGCCCCAAAAAAGTTAAAAAAAAAAAAATTATGATACCTGTTTCTAAAGGCAAAAGAAGTCCTGTATATCTGCATAGTAGAATCCATCAATTCATCATTGAAAGGTACAAACTTAGGCTTTCCCTGAGTAGTACCAGAACTGCAATAATTTAAAAAAACTTTCAGAAGGGTAGTAGTAAGTAGCAACTTCTGTAGCAAAAAATGTAAAATAATCAATAAAAAGTCAAAAAAAAAAAAAAAAAACTAAACTAAAAAAGATAGAACACATTCTCACAGTTTACCTCAGTGAGATTGTGGTGATGGGTTTTCCAGTGAGAATGGGAGAAGAATCCCCATCAACAATTCTCCGAATATAAGGCTCCAAATCATTGTGAGTGACAATAGGAACACAAGCTTTGTAACTCTCTGGGTCAGTTCTTCCATTGATGCCTGAGTTCTTCAAGTACTCAGCCGAACCATTTTCATCCAAAATCTGCTTCAGAGTCTCTTTCTGGACATTCTCAGCGTTCTTCGTTAAGGCTTCAAATTCTTCCATCACTTTGTCCCAATTGAAATCTTCCATGATCTTCTCCAACATCCTCACAAACTTCTGGTAAATCCAAACAAAAACAAATAAGGACAAACCAAACAAACAATTGTCAGCAATAATGAAAAAGCGAATCGTCTTTGCTGCCCCAAAAAAAGGTACTGAGGGACATATATGGCAAAAAGGTTGAAAATCACGCAGTTATCTTATGTTCCTCTTTCTCGACGAACAAACAGATTTTTACAGGGAAAACGAAGAACGAAAAAATGAAGTCAAAATGTTTCAATTCCGAAGCTTTTGTCTTTGTTTTACGGCAGTCAACTCTCGTAAATTTTCCGGGCACAAAGCCCCGAAAAAATCAAGAATCGGAGAAAAAAATCAAGTCAAATTGGGATAAAAGGATTAATTAAACCTTCAAGTGTAATTAATCAAAGTGTTAAAGTACAAAGTGAGATTTAGAACTCAAACAAGAAAAAATAAAAGTAAAGAGAAAAGAAAAGGAGAATCAAAAACCACGTGCAAAACGAACTCGGAAAGTTGTCAAACAAGGATCAAACAGGAACGATCTTTCGAAAATGGAAAACAGAAGAGGCTTTTTTCAGAAAGAAGCCAAAGTGTCCCTCAAAAGCGCCAAAAAAACAAACACAGGAAACCAAAATAAAAAAAAAAATTCTTCGAAAACGAAAACAGAATTCGGAGATGAAAATTTCCAAGTATCGAATGAACAAAATTCGATACCTGCATTTAAATAAATAAAAAAAGAAGAAAACTTAACGGCTAAAACAGTCAACTCTTCTGACTGAGAAAACAAAAACAGAAACATAAGCAGAAACAGAAGAAGATGATGATGAAGTGTGGACAAGACAACATACACAGTGAAGAGAAAAACGTTAGGAATTCACAAACTTCGATGCAACTCCAAACTCTAACAACAGAGCACGCAGAAGAACCTCGCAGGAATATAGAGAGAGAAAGAAAGAGGAGAGAGAGAGAGAGATTTTTTTTTTCTTTTCTTTCTTTTCTACGGCGATGACAAATGTTGGCAAGTGTTTGGGACTTGGGTAAGAGATGTGAAGAGGACGCAGAGATTCGATGAGAAGAAGACTTATTTATATAGCCAACCCATCCATCCATATGGGGCGTTACTTTGCTTTGCCAATGCATCGCCGTCCATTTTTCTCTCTCCTTTTATTTTCTTATTTTCTTATTTTCTTTTTCTTGGGTCTTTCGAATTGACGATTCTGCCCACGGATTTTCGGCAAAATCTGCAATATTTCAGAGCTGCATTTGCCAAATTGCCGTTATTACCTTTCCTTCTTATCTTCTTCAGATTAATATTTTAAGAGAAAGGACAAACAAAATATCCTTATTATAAAAGAAGAAGACATATAAATAAACGCTAAAATGAGATTAGAAGAAAAAAAAAAAATTAAATAACATATCTTTTATTTTTATTTTTAGTTTTTCTTGTTTTGTTCGCTGTTGATTTTAGGTTCTTGGTCAAACTATGAACGTTATTTTGTCAAATGGGGAAAAGGATTATGAATCTATCTTTAATGTGAAATTATGAAATTGCTCCCCCAAGGACATACACAATATTATTACCCCATTGAAGATTAAATGCTACATTTTGCAAGTTTCGAGGTCATAACTTCAAATAAGTTCTAATAGCTAATTAGAGAATAAGGCTTAATTTTTAGTTATTTTATTTGAATTAGGAGACGTTTGGTTTATATATTAGAATCATATGATTAGAATTATTTTTAATTTATGTATATTTTTTATGAGAAAAAATACTGTAACGAATCATGATTTAAATCATGATTTAACCAAATATCCCATCAATTTCCATAATTCGGTACAAATTCCAGTAGCGGTTTTTGTTCAATTTGATTTGATTTCCTTTCAATCAATACAAAGTCTAATAACAGTTCTCTTTGGGCTTCAATTTCCACTAATGGATACAAAATTCCAGTGATGTTTTTCCGTGGTTTAATTTCGACTATTGGCTTTTGTTTCAACTAATGACTTCTGTTTCAACTAATGATAAATCAAAATAAATTCTAGAACTCTTTTTCTTGGTTAGTTTTCTCTAGTCGATACAAATTCTAGTAAAACTTGTTCACTCTCCCCGTTATGCCCAATTTATTTTTCTTCAATCATAACGGATTTTGAATTGATTGATTGACAAACTCTTCATCCGTAAATAACTTCAAAATAAATTTAAAAAAAAAAACACACGTACACACACTCTTCATCCATGAAAGGGATTGCATTGCACGCCAATTTCAGTGGAAAAGACAAACATACTATTTGAGTTAAATAAGCTTCTTTTTTCCCCTCTGAAAAGAGCCAAGAAAAGTCTATTCTTTATTAAAGTTTTTGCCTTTTAGGGGTCCATGCTCTATTATCTATTGTGTTTTTTCTTTTTCTTTTTTTTTTTTGAATGAAAAGTTAGAGATCTATCTTAACACTATAAAATCCTGTTAAAAGTTAAACATATTTCTAGAATTCCGAACCGTATTATCAAATTGTCGAATAACCAATTATTGTGTAGAGAAACATTGAGGAAGAATAATGAGCATGATATATAAGGCCATGAAAAACGAAAAGTATACATATATACATTTTTTTTTTTTGGTAAACGAAAATTATACATATATGAAAGATCGTTTTATTTTACTTAAAAGAAGCATTTAATTTATTTTTATTTATTAGGTCTTTAAATGAGCGTTTCAATAATTAATACAGTATATTATTCGTTGTCGACAGCATTGTGATATCCTAATTAAAAATTGAATTTTTGAAACAAATTAAAGGGAGTTGTTTTCAAATGGTGGGATCTGCCATTATCTCGTCGTTATAAAAAATACACAACCACTCAATTTCTTGGAATTAAATGCTTGTGGTTTCGTATTTGCATTAACAATGTAACGCAAAGAATGGAGTTGTGTTGGCCCTCTCAATTTGTCTTTTGTGATCATGATTTTTGAAAATCTTATTTGTGTAATTCTGAACATTTATCTTGTTTTTAATTTTTATTTTATTTTAATATATAATAAAAGCGATGTTGATTCTAATTTTTCTATGTTTGCATTTTTTGCAATTTTTATGATTTCGTTGTGTAAAAAGAAGTTGTCTCACTCTTTTTTGGTGTCGCTGATCTAATTTAATAATTTGATTTGATGTAATGTTATGAATGACTCTAAAATTAGTCTTTTAGTCTCAGTCAATTGGACTTATCCATATTTGGTCCTTTAATATTTGTATAACGAGACAGAAGGAAATAATGTTCACACCCCTAAAAAAGATAAAAGGGGCAACCCTTAATTATTAAAATGACTAAAAGACATTCTAAAACATATTTCTGATTCGGTGCACCCCATTTCCAATTTTTTAACACTCACGCTGAAGAACAAAGAACCTCCCTCAAACTCCTTTCTTCTCAATTAATTCTTTGGACTCCCCTTTTCTCTCCCCTACTACCTCAGATAAATATCCTTGTTTGTCTTGTTTTATTCATTTGTATTCGCCTTTGCGTAATTTATTGGTGGATACAGTTATTATTTTAGGTCGAATGCCCTTGTAATCTATGGTTATTCGAGTATGATTTAGTATTTGTACTCATATTTTTTTGAAATGATATTTTCCCTTAAAAAAAAAAGAGAAAAGAATGATAATCTCTTTTCAGAATTAAAAATATAATAAAATCTCTTTCTCTCTCTCATTTTTGAATGGGAAGAGTGATAATTAGGGATGTTAAAAAAAAAACAGTCATATCGCCGAAACAACTCAATTCTAATCAAATCGAACCAAATCGTTTATTTATTTTAGATTATTAGCCGATTTGCGTGGTTTTTACATTAGTTTTAATGGGTAGGTTGGTTAGTGATTTTGACTTCTCAAACTGCCAAAAATACACCATACAATTTTTTTTTATTTTTAGAATATTTTTTTGTGTATATTATTTTCTACAGGTCATAAAAAAAAATTCCAAACCAATAAGCTATCACATTTAATAACTAAAGTTTTTTTTTTGATAATTTATTTAATAACTAAAGTTGATACTCTCCTTTTAGCAATTAAGTATTAACAATACGTAATGAAAACCCTAGCCACCTCCCATTATCTCTGCTTATAAGCGATTTTGATTTAATTTAATTTTTGTCAAAAATATCAAACCGTCCAAACTGTTAAAAAAATATTTTATTTCGATTTAATTGGTAGTTTTTAGGGAAGAAAAAAAACGTGCTAACCGCCTGCGAACATTGATAGTGATAATCCTATCATGTAAGTGAATCAAGGTTTTTGGCGTTGTGAAAATTCAACAACTTTAAACAAATATATTCCTTTTTTTTATTTTTTATTTTTTTATTTCCTTCTTCAAAGAGGACCTATAATATAATAGAGACATTCATTAGTTGTCTTTATTTTAAAGCAATTTGGGGTTGGATATGATATCATGGTTTTAAATTATTTTCGTGTTTATCAACATTTCTCCTTCTAACAGCGACTTACTTTGGTCTTTTGTGATGTGATCTGCCACAGGATAAGAATTTAGTAGTTGTACTCCATATTTGCGGCAATTACAAAATTAACATGCCATTTCCAGCAAACCTGTATGAAAGGGATAATTACAGGGATGAAGGGGCAAATTTACTGGTGGTAATAGTAATTGCCTATAATTATTTATTTATTTATTTGGTGATATTATGGTACGTGCCTGTAATTGGTCACCCAGTTTGACCAATTAATATCAGGACTTGTTATTTTCATTTATTATTCATGGTTAATCCTATAAATGATCTTTGAAGTTAACTCTTAATTTCATTTTGGGTCTAATTTTTAAAACGTCTCACATTTAGTCTCTAAAGTTTTACTTTATTTGAATTTTAATCCTTTCATTAACTAAATGCTAAATATTTGATAGAATCTGTGTAAATTAAGGAGCAAAATTAAAAATAGTTAAAAATTAAAGACTATTTGTAGAAATTAACTTTTATTTGTTGTATTGTTTTAGTCCTTAAACTTAAGATATTTTCAATTTTAGGCCTTAACATATATTGATTACATCAAATATTTAAACGAAAAAAATGAAACTGAAATAAAATAAAACTTCAAGAATTAACTGTATAATGTTTTAAAAAATAAGATTAAAAATAAACTTTAGAGACTATTTATGAAATTAACCAATTCATTTCTCCCTCCGGTGCCATGACCCTTACGTCTAACGGCATACGATAAAGCGAGGTTGGATGAGGCAGGGTTTGCAATTCAATTTGGGGACACATATTTTCACTTTTCTTTTCATTCAAATTATTGAACTAGAGTGTATATATTCCAAAGAAAAAGATTATAAAAGAAAACTGTGGTGTACTTCGATAATGGGGAGGTAAGATATCCCTACATCATGTATCAATTCAAAAAAATAGATTGCCTATATTCTGCATATACCATGGTGAGACTGACTCCAACTTAAATCTTATTGAGTAAAACGAGCTAAGTTTACCACCCCATTAAAAGTTGTGCACACTAAATATGTCGTGTTCATAGACACTAGATACAATTTTCTATAGTTCATATTTGCTTTTGAAAAAGTGTACATCTTCTATTTACTACATAGACAAACATGTCATTTAATTTTGACGGGAAGAGTTATGAAGATCTTTACGGTAGAACAAACTATTTTGTTCCATCGGTAGAAACCTTGTATTTACTGTTGGATTAATTTTTCAATAGTTAGATCTACAATAGAAAAACTTATGTGTAGTGCACTGTAAATTTTTAATACAGACCAACACAATCTGACTGTTAAAAATCTAATCTAACTGTTAAAACTAATTGTTCCCATCAGTGGAGTAAAAAAAACGTTCACGGTAAAGATTCCCGAAGAGTTATTAAAGCACATCCTACCAACTAATGTAACCCCCATTTTCTCTTTTGTAATACATATATATATATATTTATAACAATATATAGAAATGTCAATAATTTAACTATGTTTCAACCAAAACAATGTAGTTTTAGTTGAAATTCACCGCTTATAAATAGTGATTTTCTTTGTTC